GCTATAGGTAGATGCTAGTCAACGTATTAGTTATCTTATGCTTTTGACTCCAAAAGATTTAGTGTTGCCGCAAACATGAGTACCTTGTAACAGACGACCGAATCGTCTGGATACATTGCAAAGAGCTTGGTGCCAAGGCGGGCATGACAAGAATCACACGTGCTCTCATCATTTATCTGAACGTGCCTCGACCTCTCCTCCAACCTTGCAGATCGTGCGTCCAAATCAATGGCCCGCGAGAGGTTGTGAACAATCTACTGGGACAAAGAAGACAATGTTAAACATTTCTAATATCGTATAAAATAGTTGAATCATTTCCTATAAAAAAATGAATGCTTCAAATTGCTCAAATACTAGTGCTGGTGTAGCTGCCAGACCTACTAATTCATGTGAGATTCTCTAAGAATTTCCAAAATTTTAGATAAAGGCGAATTAAGTATGTGCAGCCCGCCCTCACACAAACAACCCACAGGAAAGAATAAACAAAAGACAAAAAAAGAGCTCATATCAGTAACAAAGTACACATGTCGCAATTCTTAATACTGTGATAGAGTACAAAATAAAGAAATAACCGCATCTCATTTCTTGATGAAGATGTTTTTATCATTTACATTAAGTTTTTGTTCATTAAAATAATGACAATTTACATTGAATGAATCTAATACACAACAGCAATTTTGATTTAATAACTTCTCTAATCAAACACAACAGAAAATCTACATAAAATGACTTGTCAAGTCACTTTAATCATCTAAGAATTGTGTTGACATATTAGCATTAGTTAGGGACTTATTTGTAAGTTGTGTAGGGGCCTATATAAGCCCAAAAGATCTCATAATAAGATTAGGGTTTCTATTCCAATTTGGTATCAGAGCCCAAAAACCCTAGCCGCCAAACCCCTCCCCCTCCGGATCCCCTCCACCGATCCGCGACTCCTTCCCACCGCCTGCAGACCCCCCCCTCACCGCCTGTTTGACCCCGCCCCCTCGTTCCGCCTGCAGGCCGCACCAGAACACCTCGCACCCTCCACCGTTTCCCCAGAACCCTCCCCCCACCCTTCAGCCTGCAGAACCCTAACCCCCCCCCCCGTCCGAACCTCCCTTGCAGAATTCACCCTGCAGCCCCCCTCTTAACCTCCCTCAGCCCCGAATCCCCACGCCCCCCCCCCACCCTTTGCCCGCCGCTTGCTGCGCTATGCCGGACCTCGAGTTTGGCATGGGTTCCCTCGACTCAGTCCTCGAACTGATGACAGGAAGAGTATATATCTCACATCGATGAGATATATCACTGTTTTTTGATTCTAGTTTCCTCAGAGAAACGAAAATTTGTTGGAGATCTTACTCTTGTTGTGCAGCAGAAGTGCTGCCGAAATTTTCCCTGCGCACAACAAGGGTTTGAAGAAAAAGGTGAATAGGTGTTGGATCTGAAGCTTGATCGATGGAGGAGATCATCAAGAAGTTGAACCCTGCGGAGGTGTCAGCTTTGATGAAGTTGATGAAGTTGTCGGCTGGTGAGAACGCGACAAAACCATCGAAGAAGTTGGAGCTTCCGACCATCGATCTGAAGCTGGATGGACCTAGTACGTACCTGAGCTGGTCACGGCGGGTGAGATATACCCTTGCAGGGAGGAATCTGGAGGGCTATCTGACAGGAGAGGTGACAGCCGGAGGAGGACTCAGAGGGAAGAGATGAGTGGAAGTCCACTCATATGTTGGTGTACATCTGGCTTCTCAACTCGTTGGTCCCGACGATCACCGCCACATTGGATGGCATTGAGAAGGTGAAGGACGTCTGGGAGAAGTTGAGGACATATGATAGAGTGGGGAATAACCTGAGGGTATTCCAGATTAAAGGAGAGATCGACACCACAGTCCAGGGAGAGAGGACTGTACAGGAATATGCTACATAGTTGGAGCGCCTGTGGCTGGATTATGATCATTTTTCCCCCCGGGCTAATTGCAAGGACCCGGGATGTAAAGAGCAGGAGGCCTTTCTACAGGAGAGGACTATGATGTTTCTCAAGGGATTGACATCAGAGTTCGCTCAGCGAATCGCATTGATACTAGCTCAGCCGAATATTCCCACGCTTGAGGAGGCTGTCTCTGCTATGATCCAAGAGGAGACTCGCATTCGACTGCAGGCGGGGACAGGTAGACTTCCTGTGGTGAAGTTAGCACTGGCAGCCTCTATCAGCACTGGATCTAGAGGAGAGACTCGACGGTGCTACAACTGCGGTGCGGTGGGTCATCTAAGACATGCTTGCACCAAGCCACTCAAGGAAGGAGATTCAGGTGGACGTGGACAGTTTGGAGGTCGTGGTCGTGGTCGTGGCCGTGGGGATCGACGAGGTGGAAGAGGAGCAGGGAATCGGGCGAATCTGACGGTAGCAGAGGAAGAAGCAGCTGAGGTGGTCTTTACAGAGGAGGATCGTGCTCTCCTGACGATACTCAGGAAAAAAACAGCAAGTAGCAGGGGATGGAGACTTGAGGAGTGGAACTGAGGAGGCATCCACTTCGTTCTTCGCCAGAGGCAACACTGCTACCTATGCTCATCCGGCCAAAGGTACTGATGACATATATGCTCTTGCTTCTATGTCTCCCAACAGATCATCAGAGTGGATAGTCGACTCCGGTGCGTCTCGTCATGTGACAGGTAATGCTAGTGAGTTCTCATCATATACTCACTTAGCATCGCCTGATAGTATTCAAACAGCTGATGGTACATTTCAGCCGGTGATTGGTAAGGATACAGTCGATTGTACTGATTCTGTAACTTTGTCCAATGTCTTGCATGCTTCTTCCTTTCCGGTCAATCTTTTATCCATTAGTTCTATCATCCTCCAACTAAAATGTATTGTTTCTTTTGATATTCCCAAGGTGATCTTTCAGGAGAAGGGGACAGGACGGAGACTTGGGACTGGCACATGGCGTAATGAACTGTGGTATCTGGATCGTGAAGGGCTAGATTTAGCTTTGGTGTCAATGGTAGAGAGAGCAGGAGTAGGATCTGAGATGAGTGCTGAGAGTGTGTTGATGCTTCATCACAAACGCTTGGAACATACTTCTTTCGGTGTTTTAAGTAGGTTGTATCCATCTTTATTTGAGAAAGTAAATAAAGAGAAACTTGTGTGTGATGCATGTAAGTTGGGAAAGCTTACTAGAAGCTCTTATGTTAGTTCTGATCATAGGAGTTCTCATGCATTTGATATGATACATTCAGATGTGTGGGGGCTATGTTCCACAAGTTCTATGAATGGATACAAGTATTTTGTTACCTTCATTGATTGCTTCTCTCGCGTTACTTGGTAATACCTGATGAAGAATAAGAGTGAAGTGTTTGGCTGCTTTCAAAACTTTCATAGGAATGTTTAGACTCAATATGGAGCAGTGTTGAAGGTATTGAGATCTGATAATGGGACAGAGTACACCAACAGAGTGTTTGGAGAATACTTGTCATCTCAGGGAATACAACACCAGACTACATGTCCATACACACCAGCTCAGAATAGGGTAGCAGAAAGGAAGAACAGACATCTTTTAGAGGTTGCTAGAAGTATGATGATCTCCACGAATGTCCCAGAAACATTGTGGGGGCAAGCAGTGTTGACTGCAGCGACGCTGATCAACAAAATGCCCTCGAGAGTACTGGATTAGAAGTCTCCGTGTGAGACGTTAAAAGGAGATAATAGTGGGATTCTTCCACTGAAAGTATTTGGTTGTGTGTGCTTTGTGAAGGATAACATACCATCAGTCGGGAAGCTTGCCCCTAGAGCGGTGAAGTGCATTTTTGTGGGATATTCTGCTACTCAAAAGGGATATGTTTGCTGGAGCCCGATGGAGAAAAGGCTGTTCGTAAGTATGGATGTGTACTTTCGTGAATTTGGGATATGTTTGCTGGAGCCCGATGGAGAAAAGGCTGTTCGTAAGTATGGATGTGTACTTTCGTGAATTTAAGCCATATTGCACACAGAAGGTACCCTCATCCGTTGGTGACTCGCCTAATACTGAAAGTATGAGGCAAGAAGGGGAGAATGGTAAGAGGCAGGATAATATGGAGAAATCGATTTCTCTATCGATTCCTTGGGAAGGAGAATTGGTTGAGGAGCAGGAGAATAAAGAAGAAGAGGATAAGGAGACAAGAGGTGTTAGGCCCACGGCTCACAGGGGGAGCTACTTACCTATAGTAGGAAAGGAAAGCAAATTGCAGAAACAGTACCTACAGTGCCACTAGTGTCAAGTCCCTTATCAACGCATGTCCCGACTCCTGAGACACGTACACTACCATCAGATTCCTCTCAAGGTGATATCATTCCTCTCCTTACTCCTCCCACACCAATATCAATACGGAGGACTACTCGCAGCAATGTGGGACATCCTCCCGATAGATATGGTTAGGATCTTGCCCAGTTTGTATCATATTCTAATATCCACCATGCACATGGAGCATTCATTGCATCATTGGACTCTGTTATTGTACCTAACAATTGACAGGTTGCTAAGGACCCAAAATGGAAAGTGGCTATGTACGAGGAGCTAGGGGCTCTTGAGAAAAACCGCACTTGGGAGCTAGTAAAACTACCAGAATAAAAAAGAGCAGTTGGATGTAAGTGGGTCTTCACTGTGAAGCAGAATCCAGATGGACAAGTTGAACGCTACAAGGCTCGTCTGGTGGAAAAAGAGTATAGTCAGACATATGGCATCGATTATGATGAGACTTTTGCACCGGTGGCAAAGATGGGCACTGTTCGGACCTTAATCTCTCTGGCAGTAAATGGTGGATGGAAGCTACACCAACTAGATGTGAATAACGTATTTCTTCATGGAGATCTAGTGGAGGAGGTATACATGGAGATACCACCAGGATTCGGTACAAATCAGACAGTGGGAAAGGTCTGCAGATTGAAAAAGTCTCTCTATGGGCTAAAGCAGTCTTTTCGTGCTTGGTTTGACAGATTCATGAGGGCTATGATTGGTATAGGGTACCAGCAGATCAGCGCCGACCATACTGTGTTCTTTCGAAGAAGTGGAGGTCACATCACCTTGCTTGCAGTATATGTGGATGATATGATTATTACAGGGGATGATGAGAAGGAGATTGCCCAACTCAAAGTAAGACTGGGTAAGGAATTCGAGGTAAAAGATCTTGGCTTGCTTCGATACTTTCTTGGAATAGAGATAGCTCGAGGAACGGAGGGGATCGTCCTATCCCATAGAAAGTATGCACTGGATCTTCTCAAAGAGACAGGAATGTTAGGATGCAAACCTGTAACTACACCGATCGACCAGAAGTTTAAGCTGGGTGTTGAAGCTGAAGAACCAGTTGATCGTGACAGATACCAAAGGTTGGCGGGCAGGTTGATCTATCTGTGTCACACACGTCCCGATATCTCTTTTGCAGTGAGCGTGGTGAGTCGCTACATGCATGATCCAAGGAAGGGTCATATGGACGCAGTGTATCAGATTCTAAGGTATTTGAAAAATGCCCCCGGAAAAGGGCTAATCTTCAGAAAGAATGAACACATGAGCATTGAGGGTTATTGTGATTCTGATTGGGCTAGTTGTGCTGATGACAGGAGGTCCACCTCAGGATACTGCATCTTTATAGGAGGCAACTTAGTCTCGTGGAAGAGCAAGAAGCAGTCGGTGGTGACGAGATCGACAGCTGAGGCAGAGTATAGAGCTATGGCCTTAGGAGTTGCTGAGTTGCTATGGTTGAAGAGTATGTTGGTGGAGCTGAAGCTGGATCAATGAGCTAAGATGAAGTTGTGGTGTGATAACAAGTCAGCCATCAGTATCGCCAACAACCCAGTGCAGCATGATAGAACCAAACACATCGAGATCGATAGGTTCTTCATCAAAGAGAAGTTGGATAGTGAACTACTGGAGCTAAGTCATGTTTCGACTAAGGACCAGGGAGCAGATTGTCTGACTAAAGGACTTAGCTCAGTAGATATGATTAGAGGATGTGACAAGATAGGCTTAGTAGATATCTTTCGCCCATCTTGAGGAGGAGTGTTGACATATTAATATTAGTTAGGGACTTATTTGTAAGTTGTGTAGGGGCCTATATAAGCCCAAGAGATCTCATAATAAGATTAGGGTTTCTATTCCAATTAATTGTCCTATCAAAAGTGGTTTGGGGATGGAGCAAAAGGCTCGATTAGAGATTTACACATGTTAAATTTTTGAGAAAGGAAACAACAGAGAGAGGCTAGCCATTAACATTAGACAGCCAGCAGGTGGTTAGGAAATTCCACATGCCAGTTATGTGGTTTAAAAGCTCATCCAATTAAGGCACGACGATAATTTAGTGAGCGACTGTTAGAAATTTCCGGCAAGAGATAATTTTATGCTACTTTAAAAAAAAAGTGTGAACTATTTTCATCATCTCTAAATAGTATTAGTAACCTGTCCCTGGCGATGATGATGAACTCGAGCTCTCAACATTCTCAAGATTGTATCTGAGGCAAGCTGGAGAGGCATCTCCGGAGACAATTTCTGCAATTAAACGTGTCATGTATCAGAAGCATGTGATCAAACGTCGCTGTTAAAGATTGAAAATTATATTCCTTGAGGGCTAAATCCTCAACTTGAAACAAAACTAAAGCATGAACAGTAATTGCATGAACAGTAACTACAGTAAAAAGATAGGCTAGAAGATATCAAGAATATGGATATAGTATGGATGATTTTTATGATGACTTATAGAACTATGAGTTGAAACCCTGGAAAATTATCCCTTGCTCCTTTTGGTGCATCTTGTCACCATATCGTTTATTTAAATTGTAGTGTTGTTCCTTTCTCTGGATACCTTATCCGTCATGCTTAGCTGTATTTAGTGATGCAACCACAGACTCTCTAGATATACTACTTCCCTCCCATATATCATTAAACCCTACGACACAAAGTAGGAATACCTATCTAGCAATTATCCTAATTTCATCCAAGTAACGCATTGTTTCCATCTGTGCTGTATATAGAAGAAAGCAACATAAAAATATGCTCAAAACTTCTAATGTGCTTCTCCGCTTTTGATCCCACAGTCATTATGCATGCCGTCCTGATGTTGGACTTTAGTGAAACAACAGTTTCCATTTTCCACTTCGGATAGCATATTGAAACTTTAGAAAAGCGTTCTTGATGATCTTTACCATCTTTCCAGGTGTGAGTCCATTATCCTCCTTCCCCTGTAAGCATCATCCAAGGTATACAAGAAATTCTTCAGAGCCCTTGAGGTGTACCATGAGATACAACTTTCTTTGGTAATCATCTTATGAACTTTTCATGCTTTTCACATAATCACTGTCCCCACCAATGGCCAATGAACTTGATTCTTTGTTTCTTCTCTGTTCAGGTATCGGGCAGCCATATCATGCTTTGGATAACAGCAGCATCTCTGAGAAGTATGAATGGGTGCCAACTAGATGACAAATACTCTTCCTAGACAGGGTTATGGAGAAATATTTGCAGAATTACCACTTATAACTTTAACCTTTTCCTAATGGTCAGCAATATATAATTCATTCAAAGTATAATGGATTACTTTATTTAAAAAATAATGAATTTTCTAGTATCCTTGCTATATTTGAATTAAATTCAGTTATCAGACCAAAATATTAAACTGAACTTGATTCAATTATGTTACATCAGTGGGTTCAGGTGCATGCTTTACAGTATCATAAAGCCATAAATTTAGTACCTCTAAAACTTGCAAAGGATCCAGTGATTCTCCATGATTATGAAGAAGACGTACAGCGGCCTTAAACATGGGTTCCTTGCCATCTTGTGGATCCAAATACATATCCAGCAACCTTAAGCATAAACCATCGGATTAATATGCAACACTAAAATAAACACTGAAATATAGAACAACAAGAAACAATGAGAGAATGCATACTGCATATAGGCATCACTTCTACCAATTTCTGCACAGTACTGTTCTGCAGCCTCACTGTCCTCCAGCTTCCTTAAACACAAAACGATACATGCATAAGAAAGTATTGCATACTCTGATTCAATTTTTTGCATTAGTGAACTCTGCTTGAATCTTACAATGCTAAGATCTGCAGTACCAACGTTTCTTGCCCCATCTTTCGGTATAGGATAGCCTGTTATGTATGCAAACTAGAATTAGAGATGGAAATAGTAAAAAGAGCCTCCTTCAGCACAGGAACAGAACTTACAACAATATAATATTAATGTCACAGTCAAAGCATAATGATCCAATGGAAAAGTTAACTCGTGCACTCCAAATCTGAACCCAATTTGATTAATAAATTTAAAAATAAACAAAAAATTGACTGCTGGAAATGAATCGCAATTCACTTGACAGGACACATTGTATTTTCAGCAAAATCCAAACCACTAAATCATTATTTAGTTTTCAAAGTTCAGTAGCACACTTTTACGAATTACAATACACGTCTTTAAAAACTACTAATGTATACATAATTTTATTTCAGAAGCATAAACATTTTAAATATATTCAAGAGATGTAATCAAAAATGAAAAAGTTAAGCATTATGACTAACAAATTTCACGACTCCATTTGATTTGTAGATGTATTTATGATTTACTGACTTTCTTCATGAAGAGCTATAACAGTCTGTTAAAACTGATTCATGAATTACTTGTGAATATTCTGTTAACACTGATTCATGAGTCACTGTGTTGTACAAACTATAGGCCTTGCAGATCTCTGTTACAGATGACTAGCACGAACACAAATAATTTTATTATTTCCATATCCGTGGAAGTTTTTGTGTCCTCTATTTAAGATTTGTTATATATCCTACCAGCACAATATAGCCTTCCACTAATTATTCAACACAAAATAAAGAACTCTGAAGTGACCTTCGCATATTAGCATTTCCAAAGCCCAACAAGGAAATTGAGTAATTATCATTTTTCTGCTAACTCCAGCATTAGATAATTAACCTGAGACGAAAAAGGTAGGTGATCCGCATTAAAAGGTTATGCGGTGAAATTAAGAGAAATCGAACATAGTTTCTGTACGTTAGACATTTAAAGGTGTTTGGATGCAACCAGATGTACATATTCTTGCATTCAACAAAAATAGCCCACATAAGATTTTAAACTTCAAATAAATTAGAAGTAGAGGGTTACAAAACCTTTTCCAGCCATAGCTCGGAGCCTTCTATCACATGAAGCACTTCTTGCGGATCATACAAGTCAGAAGCCTGTAGAAATAACTGCAATCTCTCCCTAACCAGATATTGGTAGGTACCTACTGCTTCAACATCAGATATATTCATCTCACTGAAGCTCCTACCGTTACAAATATCATTACCACACTCAATGTCAACAATTTCTATTGCAGATTTGGCAAGAGAGAGAGCATATATAGTGTGAAATCGAGTATCATCACAGTCTTGGTCCTGAATCAACCATTGCAAATATCTACAGAAATTATGGACCTTTGTTAGTTTACCATGCAAATTATACAATCTATAAAAGATAAATCTATTGGCTGGAAAGGTGAAGTTCAGTAAAAAGAAGAAAATGGTATAACAGATGACTTTGCAAATATTTCGTACATGAGCAACAAAAAAAAGGCTTCTTCCAGCACACATGATCATTTGTACCTTAAGATCAAAACTAATAGCAGAAAGCAAGACAAAGGGATCGGATTTCCACATAAATGCAATAAATTTAGAAATCATTTACACAAAATATGATTGATATTTCTGATTCAATATGGAAATTCTGATAACAGGATGGAAGCACATCTAATATAGTCATGGCTCCAGTACTTGCATCCCTAAACAACCAGATATTCCTTTAAAGGCTGCATTATACTTATACTGATACATTCCCTGACTATCAAACAAGGAAAACAATTCCTAGACTTGAAACTTTTCATATTCCTTTTTTTTAAATGCATTTATATTTGAAATGAATGATCTGACAAATACAAATGCATAGTACCTCTGCTGAATCTCAGCTTTTTTCGGGTCAATTGCAGCAAGTACTTCTTCTGCGTAAAGAATTAAGTCAGTCAGTTAATATGATTACCCAAGGAAGATTATTGGCAGATTAATCATTTTATTGGACTCTATAAAGAAATTATAAAATGGATTCTATAAGCAAATTATAACAGTAGACATGAAGAAAAAATGTCATGGTGCATCGTAGATTCTGTAATTGACATATTAGCTAAAATGGCAAGGAAATTCAATTTTTCAGCAAAGGGATCAATTTTGAAAGAAAATGATGTCAAGCTCTTGGTTAGAATGCTAAACTACATTTAATAAAATAATTGCATGAACTTCTCTTGGCTCTCATGAGATGCAAAATGTTAGATCAGTAGAGGAAGCTGAAATATCACTGAAAATGATAATATAAAAAACACAAACATCTCATGTGTAGGTTTTTTTTTGTCTTGAATGGTGTGGGTGGCCCAGTGCACGAGGCGCCCATCATTGTGGGCTCTAGGAAGGATCAGATGTACGCAGCCTTACCACCGCTTTGCGGAGAGGCTGTTTCCGAGATTCAAACCGGTGACCTCCAGGTCACAAAGAAGCAACCTTATCGTCGCCAAGGCTCACCCTTTTAATAATGTCATGGTTAAAAAAGAAATCATATAATCATCAAGTAATAACACACAAAAATGCAAGTTATTTAACTATTGTAATGAACAAAAGCTGTCAAGATTAATAAGAAACATAAGTTTATGACAAGTGATTTTGTCTCCATTTAGTATCCAAAAGAGATTTTTTCCCCACGTATGCTAAACGTCAACCAGCAGGTCGCTCTATACATTACAAAAGCTCATACATTGTAAATATGACATGTGGAAAAGGCAGTTTTATAGCTCTATAGATTATTTTCTCCTATATGTGATTATAAATAGTTCATAGGTGAGAAAAGTTAAGGCAAAGTATCTAGATTAAGATTGTTAATCACATACATAAAAACATTAGAATTACCAGGTGAAAGCTGATAGACCCTTTTCTCTGACGTTAAAACCATGACTGCAAGTTCTTGGTCAATATCTGCAATCTAAAGCGCACATAGCTGGTTTAGTAAAATTCAAGGAGCCTACTATTAATGTGGCAATTGTTTACAATGTTTGTGAATAGAACATACCCATCTGAGGTGTTCAAGAACCAAATCCTGATCAGAGGACTCTTTAAGTAGATTTGATGCTTCCATAGCAGCAGACTTTTCACCAGATATTACATCTGCAGACATATCTGCAGAATCAAATTCCACTGAAGATGTAGGCTCTATCCACAGTCCAGTTGAATAATTTCTTGCCAAGATACGCCAAATGGAAAGAGCCTTTGAGACCATTCCTTTACTGGCATATAAGAAAGCAAGTGTTCGTAAATGCCCAGAGTCATCTAACAGGGTTTCTAACTCCTCCTGCACCACCCATTGAAGTTGCAAGGTCACCCACAAGCATCGTTTGACAATGACCAATCTGCTTTGCAATGCATGGGAACAAAAGTTCCTGCTGCTTACTTACAGAGACATGCATGCATGATCTTGGGTCTATACTCCATTAAGTTTGATTGCATACGTGCCTCGAACTAAGCAAATATAATATAGAATGGTAAGAATAGAGTTAGTTTAAGACATACCACAACACAGCTGTTCTGGGATGATGCAAGCTGCTCCATATCTTCTACACAATTGAGGGCTCTATAAAGATACATTAAAAGAGTATCAACTCCCTCCTTCACTGGAGGGGTCAAATCCTTCTCCCGAGAAGTGCGTAGATACCTAAGTAAACAAATAGAAAGTTTGCAAAACATTTCAAGTTAGAAATTGAAGCCTCTGAACTGTCAGTAGAAAAAACAATGTCCAGGTAACTGATAAACAGATGAATGACAAAAAAATTGGCAAGGAAAAAAGTAAATGAACATTGTATATACCTGATCATGTTTTGAATTGCGGACTGCAATAATTCAGCTCTACTAGGCGGATTCAAAAGAAAGTTATCATCTGTAGTAGTATCTACACCAGCTTTTCTGAGGAAAATTTCTCGCTGAATTGCCGTAAGCCCATCATCGACAACTTGCTCAAGAGGCACAGGAGGAGGGTGCAATCCCCAATATCGGTTTCTTGGCACCTGAAAAAGGTCCTTACTTTCAGCTGTGAAAATATTTCCCTATAAGAACCGTTGACACGATCCAATTTTTTAATGATGATATATCCATCAACTTAATCAGCTAATATAATCATACATTAAAAATGTGTTTCACTTTTAATGTAATGTAATTAGATTAAATTCATAAGGGCAGGCACAGGGCTTCAAGTATGATGAGCTATGTGCTGCAATGTTTAGCATTAGCCAACCCAGCATGCTACGGAGGATGCACCTGTTACCAACGGATGGTCCACAGTGCATTAACTCGTCCATTTTACAGATGGCTACAAACTAATATGGCTATAATCTATCATGTCCAGGTATGCTTCTCAAACATGCTATTCAGCAAATGTTAATGGGCATATTTACTAACTAAAGGGCATAAAATATAACAGATGTATGCTACTTAAACATTTAGACCAGGTAAAAGAGAAGGAGGTATATATAAACCAGCCCAAGAAAGCAGACTGCACCAGATAAGACCAGCGATTTGGATCCCTCATTATAAATGGAAAGATTTCAGATGGCTGCATAGCTTCTGAAAGCAAGAAATGGTTCACTGCTTCTTCAAAATGTAAATCAAAAAGTAATAGGAACCCCACTTGTGCATGCACAAACGAGAGCATTTCTCTGGATATTTCACCCTCAGAGTCAACTTCTTCCACCAAACTAATAGCTTCTTTAAAATTCTTTTTCCTTAACAAAACTTTAATCTGTTCTTCAGCGGACACTTTCCGATAGCAAATAACCTGCACAATTGAAAATTGCAATTCAGGAAAGTCCATGAAAAAAATAGAAACAGGTCTGTGTTCCCAGCATTGAACAACAGTAAAATGTCGTTACCCTCTTATCTTAGATTCAGTGTGTATCATGAGTATATTACATGATGACAGTGAATTATCACCAGCAAATTCAGGAGGAAAACATACCTAAACTCAGTCAACTCCTATCAAATTATAGTATTTGATCCTATAAGGAAATTCAAAGAAGTGCCTTATAAGTTCACTTAGTAACTCTTGACTAGCTACGGAAGGAATAGAATAGTATTTGATCTCATAAAGAAATCCAAAAGTTGGAAATGATTTCAAGGAGGAAACGTACCAGCCATACAAGTCACCACATACTCATGCAGACGCATACGCCTGACAAACTATATTATTTGGTTCTATGAAATTCCAAAAAGATGCAGCAAAATCAGATGGGAAACATGTCTGCTTTACAAACCATGACGCAAGCACACATATACACAAAGAACTTCCAAAATGCAACAAATTATTCAAGTAGAAAGCATCCTACCTCATAAATCAACACAATCTTAGCTATAACCACAAACGTTCAAAGTAATGAATCGGTAATTGATGCTATGAAGAAATTCCAAGATGGTGAGACAAATTCAAACAGGAAAACAAACCTACCAATAAGTCATGACATAACATGCACTAGCTATTGACTGACTATTAAAGCAATAAATCAACACAAATTCAAAGAACCTACAAAAAAGATAATAAATAAAATAAGATAAGGCGGGAGACATACCTACCATATGAGTCGTTGCAATCACAACAACTTCTCCATTTCCCCGATCGTTGCTCGCCAAAATGCACGGAGCACCACTCCCCTTCGCCACCAATAAGGACTGCATGCAAGCTGCACTCTTTCTTGAATACAAATCCAACTGCCCTTCCCTTCCAACTATCACATAACACCCCATCTCCACAATAGATTCAGGAATATACTGAAAAATCAAGCTCCCACCCACTGGCTGACCAGACTCATTCGCGACAACACCCACATTATCAACTAACAACAACACTTCCTTACTCCTATGCAGGCATTTCAATCTCGGAGGTCCAGAAGCTTCTGGAAGCAAAAATATCGGTGTGATCTTCCCACTAGCAATCGAAAAGAGTGTGTAACCATCCAAAGTGCCAACAATCATTGAATCCCCAAGCCAAGTCATAGTCTTTACACCCTCAATCCCCTGAATCTCCTTCCAAACTACAGAAATTCCGCCGTACTCAGAATCCGACTGAACTTCTGAAATCGGCGACATGAGCTTCATCAGCACTAAACCTTTTCCTGCTGCGGCCGCCACAAAGCAACTCGAGCCCTCTTCTCTCTTCGCTTCCGATACCCTAGTCCCACTTCCATTAGCCAATTTCTTAAGAAAACTCTTTCTAGGCGATTTCACCGCAGCGTCGTTCGCAAAGAGATCTGAACTATCTGCATCAACATCATCTGAGCAATGAATTCTCTTCGAAAACGCAGTCACCCCCTTCAAGAACCCAACTTTCTTCGCAGGCTGCAACAGGAAGAGATCGATCAAGAAGAGGAACCCATCGGAGAGGACGAGGATCCTTCCGATCTCGTCGAGGACGAGAATGGAGTCGATGACGCGGTTGGTTATAGAGGAGGATTTGAGGAAGTCGACGGAGGAGTCGCTAGGGTTTAGGGAGAAGAGGAGGATCTTGCCGCCGCCGGTGCCGATGAAGATTAGGGTTTGGGAGGAGTCGGTGGGGTTGAAGACGGAGAGGGATCGGATGGTGAGGGGGACGGCGGGGGAGAGGCCGGC